GCACCATCTGTTCAAGAATAGAATATCCCTAAACCCTAAACCAAAACTTGACACCGAGCAAAAGGCATCTGGGCCTCTTGGAGTCTTGATTGCAGCTCTTTGCTTGCCTGGCGTGGCTGGCAGGGCATGTAGCGGAGCGCCGCGAAATTGAGGTTCACCAGTAAAGCAGCATAGCCCCTCTCTTTTTCTGGCAGGCTTTGCAACACACCGAAAAACCTGGAGAACGTGAACCCCGCGTGAGAAGATCGTGGGAAAGTTGCTTACGTGCCCCCGCCTCCCTGCTCTGCGCTAAGTCCTGCTGGAGAGCTTCCTGTCGCTAGCCGGGGCAGATACCGGAAGACGCAGAAATCCGAAAGTTTTTGCTGTTCTCTTCTTCACTCCTCAACTGTGCAAAATGCTGGGCACTGAACCTTCAACCCTCAGCTTGATACACCCTGCATCCGGCCCGAGCCATGCAGCCAAGTTTCATTCTCCATGGACAGCGTGCGACTGGCATCTGCCGCTTGGAGGTTCTCCTGTGGTTCTCATGTCTTCGTGTACCAGCGTTCAGGCTCGAGGGGTGTATGGCATCGAAGAAATGACGGCCCGATGAATTGCTGTGTGCCACCTGCGTCTGTATCAACCTGTCCCAACTTCATGTGCCAACGACACATCCCAGTCTGCTAAGAAACGGTAGGGTGTTGTTCAGGCCACATCAGGCCACGTGACAGGTGTGCGACACAATGCTCAGCAGCAAGGGCGCCTCTAAGACCCATCCGCATCCAAAAACGTCTTCTCTCTCTTCTTCTTCTTCTCCGGGGCATAGGGAGCTGTCCAGGCTTCTCTCTCTCTCTCTCTGTCTCTCGCTTCTGCTCGGTTAGATATCAGAAGCTGCATGCCGTGCAGCCCGGCCTGGCTCCTCTGCAAGACCTCCTGGACGGGTCCGGCTCATCAGGTCTTGCCGAAGTTGAGCTTTCGGGTTGCCGTCGATTTTCATGCTAGTGTGCTTCACAGTCCACAAGACACGTTCAGAAGCCAGTAGTCCGCCTTTGTGAGCAGTATCGGTTTCTGAATACGCCTGCTGCTTCGATGGTGGACAGCTTAACCAAAAAATCCCATAACAGCAGCCCTCATCGTACAGTAACACTCCAAATCCAAGACTTACTGGCCTGTCCTGCAGCTTCTGTTGGGCTTCGTCACGCTCCCGCAGCGCCGACTCCAGCTGCTGTGCCTGGAAAGCGAGGTCATATGGTTGCGAAAGAAACGCTACAACCGCTCGCAGTACCCAGAATCAAGCAGCTTCAGGTGTAGGGCGGTCATTAGCCCGTTTTGCATCAGGATTCGTGCAATCGCCTGAATGTCCGAGCCTACAGAAGTTCAGCTCGCATGACTGCGCCCTAAACTCCTAAACCTAAACCCTATCCCATGTCAAACCCGGACTTTGCCCTTTGCGGCTGGGAGACGCCGGTGCCCTGGATGGACGACAGGTCGCCCTGAGCGAAACCATCAGGATTTAGGCATTTATGCTTTTCGCTTCTCTCATGGTCTAATCTTTGTAAATTGGGGGGAGGGGAGGGCGGTGAAACAGGTATGCTTCCGCCATCGACTTGTTGCCTCCCACTTTCTCAACTTGGGGTTTGTAGCTCTTGGAATACGCGACCAACCAAGTTCGGATACCCGGAACTGCGCAGAAGGCCTGCGAGGTCCAAAGCCCTCATGCCCGATCCATCTTCTTACCACGGCCACAGCCCCGAAAAACTTCAAATCCATCTCTGGTAACTGCGACACGGTCCTACTGCGTGCGTAAAGTGGCGCAGAATCGAGGACACTGCAGCTATGAAGTGTGGAAACTACATGCAATCGCAATAGTGCAATGAAGAACTGCCTGCAGGCGTTGTATTGTGCTGGCGTCTGCCGCACGGTGCTGCTCGAGCGCTGTCATTGCCTCCAGTTGGGCTTTGCATGTTCTGCCGGCCGCTGCCTATAGACTCCCACCCATCAGCTACGCGACTACAGGGGCGAGACTGGGATATGGACTCAAAGGGATGTGAAACTTCAGAGCTTGATTCAAGCAGCCGGACAGCCTTGTATAGCAATCCTTAGCATGCTCGCGATGTTGATCCAGAAGCGTCAGCACATCCCCAGCCATGCAGGGTTCTTTGATGGTCAGCTACCACACGTGACTTTCCCAGCGGGGATGTGCCTGGCTCCGCTGCTCCAGCTGCAGCTCTGCCTTCATGAAATCTCACATTGGGTGCAGTCGTGAAACTGGCGTTGCACCGAACGATCCAGACTTCGATCGAGTTCACCACGTGCTCGGTATGTTAGAATGTGCACCGAGTGCCCTAGCTATGCAGAAGCCATGATTTGTTCCTACTATCTATGACTCTCTACTCGCAGGGACTACCCCTTGAGATGCATGATGGGCATGGCCTCCTGGAGCCGTGCCTGCAGCTCTTTGCTTGCCTGGCGCTGGCTTGCAAAGCATGTAGCAGTAGCATCGTGTCGTGGCAGTGAGGATGCCGCATGGTTGCTAGCATGCGGGCTCAAGAATATTTTTTATTTCTGGGAGATGTGGTCCCTCTCAGGGGCCTTGCTTATGAATCGCCGATGGCATTTGTGATGCTCGCCTCGCCGGCTACTGCACTCGCGTTTCGTTGACTCAGTCGGGTAACACGCATGGCTGTTTATAGGAATCACGACACTTCCGGAACCTATCCACAAGAAAACACACAAGCGACTTCATGCGAGCTGCATTCGGGGTAGCGCTAGGTTTGTCGAGATCAAACAAATAACATCGCCCCGAGTTGCTGCAACTCCCAAACCATGTGCAAAGTGGGACCGCGCCGAGACTCCTGAACTCATTGCATCCTCCAAGCTCGTCCGCACTACCCCAATCGTGCAAGAGCCCTAAAAGCCTGACGCACAGAACGCCGAGAAACATCAAAAACTTCGTGGAATTTTGGATGATTACGCCCAGCCTCCCGGCTCTGCGCCAACTCCTGCTGGAGGGTTTCCTTCAAGCCAAGATAGTCATGGCACAGCGCAGGAACCCCAAATGGACCCTAAGACCCTCAGCTTGCTACACCATGCAACCTTGCTCGAGCCCTGCCGCCAAGCTTCATTCTCCGTGGAAAGCGCGTGGCTGGCATCTGCCGCTTGGAGGTTCTCCTGCGGATCTCTCGCTCGCTCTCTTCTCCTTCACTGGGGACACAAGATCGCTCTCTTTGTTTAGCCAGGGCTAGGGCGAAGGGGTTTCCCCCCTCCCCGCGCGCGTGTACACACACACACTCTCTCTCTCTCTCTCTGGCT